GGGCTGAAGGACGTGCCTGGAGTATGGTAAATAATCCTGGTCAGTGAATGAATAATAGAGAGACAAAAGTGAAAAACGTACTAGAAGGAATAGGTGGATATATACACCGTGGACGACAAGGCAGATTAAGTAGACAGGTTTATGCTGAATCTAATGGAGAGTCTTCACAGGTTTTTAATTAGGCGAGTGATATGACCTGATCTATAGCAGACATGAGCAAGCTGTACTGGCAAAAGGAAAGAAAGAAACCAGGGAAACTAGATGTGAGGTTTTTACAATCGTATACAGGTAGGTGGGTAGTGAGGGACTGAGGGGAAGGAGAGAAAGAACTGGTGAAATAGAAAGAATTTTCCAGGATTAGATACAGGATAGAATATAAAGGGAAAACAAAATTAAAGATGCCGAGGTTTTTAATTTGAGTAACTGTGACTAACACCTTCTCTAGAGAGAGGGAACTCTGGAAGAGGGATCGGTTTACAGGGAAGTGTACTGTAAGAAAAGTAATTCTGATTGGGAAATGTTGAGGGCAAAGAGGAAGGAACGAACGGTCTAGTGTTTGCGAAGTGCTGACCAGCAGGTCCCCTTCCTTATGTCATCTCATAGAAGATCAAGTGGCAAGTGCCTGTGGGGCATCTATGCAGTGTCTTGCCTGGTCCATGGTTAGATATAAGGGCTGTGGCCCTGAAGAAAACAAATGGCTAGAAACAAAGATCTGGGTTTCCTCAGAATGTAAAATAATAGCTGACGCCGTGGGCATACACACAATCCTCCAGGGAAAGCAAGAGAGAAGAGAAAAGAATGAAGAGGAGACTCTTAATGATAATCTAAAGCACATTATTATTATTTTTTGATTGAAAAGGAAGTCTGCTTTTTTATGAACTCTGACTCCTGGATTTTCACTAAAGTAAATGTTTAAGAGCGTGTCCTGGATATTGTTTTTTGGTGTCAGCTCCACTCTCGCCCTTATATGTTCTCTTCTGAATCACGGGACCTGAAGACTAAAAACTGCTTCCCAAACTCTGTCGGCAGTGAGGATCTGTCAATGGGAGGCACTTGCATAAGATGAAAGGATGAAAGGTGCCATTTTAGTTTTCGTGGTGGTTCCAGTAGTGTCAGCAGCAGTGAAAGCCTGGGGCAGAGGAAATTGCTCCTGCAGAGACAGCTGGAGTGCGGGCTTCAGGGTTAGGGGTGATGTCACCTTCCTTCTTTCACTCCATTGGGCTTTATAACGCTTTTGTAAATAATTCCGTGTCAAGTCCTCTGCTGTTTAAAATACCTAGAGTGGTTTTGGTTATATAAACTGTCTCCTTATACATCAAAAAGAGAAAATGTAAGGCTAGAAATTATCTAACCAATCCC